CGCCGGGCCTCCCCCTGCCCGGCTTTGTGTGTGTGTGTGCGCCTGGCGGCGTAATTACTGATTTGATTCCAATCCATTATTTAGACAATTGAACCTACAATCTCGTCTTTAGTAAAATGAGGCGAAGTCACATTTGATTACAGGTTCAGCCCCAGCGACAAGAGCTCGAAACCCGATGGGTTAATAACAGATCACGAGTAAATTATTCATGATTTTACGAGCTCTTTAGCTCCATTGAATCGGCCTAATTGAGAGGAAAAAAAAATAAAAAAGAAGAGAGAAAGCCAGGTCCTCCCCCTCCCCGCGGCCCCTTGCTCCTCCCCATCCGATCCTGGGGAATCTGGACTTGCCCCGGGCACTGGGGGCGGCAGTGAGGGGGTCTGGGGCACCCGCCAAATCCGGGCTTAGCTGCCACTTCCCCCGCGGCCTCGTTTCCCCAGCACAGCCCTGTGCCCCAGCTGCTGGCCGCCTCGGCGGCCCTCCTTTTCCCTTTTCGCACTCCCAGCCGGTAACAGCTTCAGAACAGGCCTCCCTGATCTCCTTGAACCCGGGATTCAGTTCAGTCGCCAGGACCCTCCACACATTCCCCCCTGTTTCCGGGCCTCACTGTCCCCTCAGGCTCTCTCTGTGTCTCTCCTAATTTCTTTCTGTCTTTGTAGCTGTCTCTGCTTCTCCACGTCTCCACTGCTTTCCTTTCCTCTGTCTCTCTTTCTTTCCTGGCTCTGTCCATCTTTCTCTTCCTACACCCTCTCCTTTTCTCGCTCTTCATTCTCTCAGTCTTTCTACCCCTATGTCTTTCTCTCCTTTCTCTGCCCTTTCTCCCCCCCACACACCCCCGCCCCCAACACACACCCTGATGTAGGCCACTCTCGGGGCACGTCCCTTGGGTGCATGGGGCGCCAGGGTCCCCACGGAACTCATTAACAGCAGCAAGGCCCGGGCAGGAGCTGGGCGGAGGGATAGGCCCAGAGATCCCCTGTGGGAAGGCCTGCCCTACCCCCCTAATCCCCCAGGAGCTGGGGACTGAGGGCAAGAAGAGGGTCGCTGGCCCCCAAGAGGGGGCAAGGCAGTTTCCATGGATCCCGCTTGGAGTCATTTTCTGATCCCCTTTAAATCCTTGGACTCGTGTTCTTCACTCTGGGCACTGTTAGTGGGAGTACAGTCCGGATGGGGGATTTGGGTGCCTGGGTGCCTGTGGGAAGTGACCCCTACGGTTAGGAACAAGACCTGAATTATGCAAATTTTTTTCTGCAAGAGGCTACTCTCACTTGGGCAGAGGGAGGAGTAACTCACCAGGAGAGCCGGAGTACTTCTGAGGTCATGTCTTGTGGTCAGATAAAATGCAGGGCGCCCGTTTAAACTTGAATTTGGGGAAAACAACAAATAAATATTTAGTCTAAGTGTATCCCATGTAATATTTGAATTTTAAATCAACAACAAATACTTTTTTTAGTGTAAGTGCATGTCATGTAGTATTTGAAATTCTAGTATAGCTATGCTCCACGCAATATTTGAGACACACTTATACTAAAAAATTGTTCATTGTTTATCTGAAATTCAAATTTAACTGGGCACAATGTTTGTTAAGTCTGGTAGCTCTATTGTGGGCATGTGATGGGGCACAAGATATATTCCCAGTTGTCCACTTTCAGGGGACTGAATCTATGAAGCTTCCCCCAAAGTAAGACCTTATGTGTGTAATAACTCCGGATGTGACGAGGGGATCTTGGAGAGGATCCTGCTTCTCTCAATCAGCCGCCAGGTTGCCAAGCAACTTCCTGAGGCTTGAGGTTTCCACCCTGTCCCTTACCCCCAGTGCCTTCCAGGCATTGGGAGCCATGCCCCAGCTGGGCCCCTTCTGGATGGGGAAGGGCTCCCCAAAGAGTCATGCTTCATCTTTGCCTGCCTTTGTGCTGTAGTGGAGAGAAAAGGCAAGGACTACAGTGCTGAATCTGGGCTCAGCCATTACCAGTGGTACACGTGGCTTCGTGTCCCTTAGCATTAGTTTTCTCATCTGTAAAATGGGGAGAATAGCAATAGCCACCCATCAAGCAGTAGTGAAGGTCCGTGGTGTTTATAAAGCCAAAGGCGTACCCTAGGTGTTGAATACATATTAATTTCTTCCTCCAACTTCCTTCCCTTTCCAGTTAGGACTCTGCCACTCTATGAGATTTCCAAAGATCACTTAACTTCCCTGCCTCATTACCCCACTTGTAAAACTGGCAACAGCTGCCTCACAGGGCAGCGGTGAGGATTCAACTATAAGATACAATATCTGACCTGAAGCCCAGGAGCCCGTACAGTACTTTTGATAAGGGCCAAATGAAAGCAGGTGGAGAGATGTCAGTTAGCAACTTCCAGGTACCTGCCCCAGACACTGTTGGGGGAGACCTGAGACAGTCCCCTCCTTAGGAAGTGCAGGGGGGAACAAGAAGAACCTGGGCTCCCGAGTCTCTTTGATGCTGGGTCTTCATCAAGTGACTTTCCCTTCTGAACCTCAGTTTTAATGTCAGTGAAAAAGGCGAAAATACTGCCTGGCTCATAGGGTGTTGAGGATTCAATGAAAAATGTGCCTATGAAGTCCTTTAGCACATCCTCTGGAGTTCTGGAGTGGAATAAGTCACCAGCAGGTTCTAATAGTAGTTATTATGCATATTATTATTATTACTGCGACATGGTGGCTCCGTGTGGGGCTTGGATTCTCCTAGAGCTGGTTTTGAATCAGCATTTCCTAGCTGAGTGACCCTGGGCAGGTCGCTCTCCCCGGCCTCAAATTCCCCTATAAATCTATGAAATGGGGATAAGATCTCTATCTCAGTGTGGTCCGGAGGCTGGAAACATTTGGTGCCGGGCGGGGGCGGGTGTGGACTAGGCAGTGTGTGGGAGGAGCGAGTCAGGAGGTTCACCTGCCGCCTCTGCGTGCCCTCCGTAGCGCTCAGCTGCAACGAGAACGATGCGGAGCACCTGGACCGGGACCAGCCGTACCCCAGCAGCCAGAAGACGAAGCGCATGCGCACCTCCTTCAAGCACCACCAGCTTCGGACCATGAAGTCTTACTTTGCCATTAACCACAACCCCGACGCCAAGGACTTGAAGCAGCTCGCCCAAAAGACCGGCCTCACCAAGCGGGTCCTCCAGGTCAGCCGGGCCTGGGGTGGGGGTGGGGCATCTGCCGCTGCCAAGACCTGGGGCAGAACCACACAGCAGGCTATGGGCCTTGGGAGGACCTTCTCCCTAAGCCTGCTTTTCTGTTTTGTTTACCTTCCCCGTTCTGTTTCTCCATCTCTTCAGTCTGTCTCTATTCGTATTTCAATCTTTTTTTTTTCCCTAACTTTACAGCTTCTCTCTCCTTCAATTTTTGCCTCTCAATTTTTTCTGGGTTTTTAAGTGTGTGTGTATCCCTCTGCCCTCTTTGTCTCCACACTCAGTCTCTTTTCTTTCTTGTAAACAATTGATATTTGCTATTTATTACTCAAGTGACACTCATATATGTTTATATTGTAGAGGGCTCAAACATTTCAGATAAATACAGAGCCCCACCCCACCCCCCAGCCCAGGAGGCCCATCCAAGGCAACTACTATTAGCTGTTAATTCCTTCTGCCTCTTGCTCCTCTCTTGCTCTCTCTAGTTTCTCTCTTTCAGTGTCTCTAGATTTTTCTTCTGTCTCTTTGTTGTTTTTAAGACTCTCCCAGAAGCAAGGCTTGGTGAGGAAGGTGCATGTGGGCAGATGCCCTGGGCAGGCCAGGGGGCCTCTCCCGGGTCTGCCCACGGGGAGCTGGAGGAAGTCCATGGGCACCTCTGAAACTCCACGGAATGGCACTTGCCTATGAGGGTGCTTCCTTTTCTTTTCTATTGAATTTATTGGGGTGACATTGGCTAACAAAATTATATAGGTTTCAGGTGTACAATTCTATAATATGCGGGTGCTTTCTTGATAGAGAGGATCCAGAGCCTTCACCAGATTTTCAAAGGGTCTGTCTGTCCACCATCCCAGAGATGTTAAAAAACTCCAGTTTGGAAGTTCCAGGCTCCTGTGTGACTCATAGAGTGGTGACACCACGTCTTAACGCTTCAGCTCCTCCTCTTACTTACTGGGCAAGTCACTGAATTCCCCTGAGCCTCAGTTTCCTCACATGTGAAACTGACACAAAAAATTATCTACGCGGCAGGAAGAGCTATTGAGATGATGTCTGCCACAGCGGCTGACCCTTAACTGCCCAGTGGATAGGGGCTAAGAATAACGTTAACTGGGTTAACCAACTGACTGCTACTAACAGTAGGAAGGATTGTTCTGGTCGCCGGACTTCAGTGTCCCCACTCACACCATAAGGTGGGAGCATGTCCCCCTTTATAGCAAGCCTAACCGATGTATTCCTCAGAATGTGTGGTTGTAAGGAGGGCAGTGCACGTTTTGGGATATGAAAATTGACAGAGGAAGTGATCCTGTCCCCCACCAGTGGGGGAGGTGCTGGGATTAGAGTCCAGGCCAATCTGATCCATCCTCTAGCCCCAGGTTGTCAGGGATTGAGGGGGGAGGCAGGGGGAGGCGACACCGAGGGAATGAGGGTGACGGTGATGGACAAGGAGGGCTGCCCAGTTTTCCTTCGAATTTGTCAGGAGGGAAGAAGGAAAAATAAAGCCTTTTGGGGGTGATGGCAGCAGTTTGGGGATGAGACTGGTTCTGGGTGAGGATCTGCAGTTCTCTGAGGAGCAGGGCGTCGGGGGCAGCTTTGTCTCTGTGGCTCAGTGACTAGGGATGGGGCGACGGCTGGCCAAGGGGGTGCTGATGCGCCTCTCTGGGCCCACCTGCTGCCACCCCCACCCCTGCACTTTCCTGGCATGGCTTGCCCTTTCCGTTTGAGTCCGTTTGCCTGAGGGTCTCAATGGCCAGGGCTTAAGACAGGCAGGATGTTGCTGCACCAGTCTTAGACCCGGATCCCTCCCTTCTGTTTCCCTTGGACTTGACCTTCTTGGGGTTAGATCAAGGGACCTTTCTTGGCGCCTCTTCCCATTTTTCAGCCTGGATGAGTTTGGACTGAGGGTCGGAGGCCTCTGCCTCTTCTCTGGCTAGTAGGATACTTTGTTCCTCAACCCTATTTAGATGGCTGTTTTGTGAGTCAACCCCTGGGCGCAGGCTGGGAAAGGAGCAGGGACTTAGAATCAGGCAGAGCTGGGTTTAGGAATACCTGGGTGGGTTCTGCTCCTCCACTCACTGGCTGTGTGTCTTGGACAAATTAGTTACCCTCTCTGAGCCGTAGCTTTCGCACATGCCTCTCTGTTACCCAGGTTACACGAAATAGAGCCAGTGCCCGTAGCGGAGTCTGAGTTTGGAACCAGCAGGAACCAGTCTCTGCTGGCCTCGGTGAGGCAGGAGGCTTGGTTATGTGATTTAGGAGCAAATTGGATTTTCAGCATAGTTATCTCTTATTCTTTCATCTGACCAAATGTCTATTAGCACCAAGCCCTGGGGATACAGAGGTGAATGAACCACAGCCCTGCTCCTGAAGAAAATCACCCATGAGGTGTAGAGACAGACCCACATTCAGTTTATCAAAATGTGATTAGTTGTGGGGGTTGTTCTGTGGGAGACCAGGGGAGGGACCACCTCTCCTATGTGAGAGGAATGGTTCACCTGAGGGACCTGGGTGAATGCTTGCCCTATCCCCTCTTCCCCTCAAATCCTGACCCAGCACCCCCCCTCACATCTGCATGCCACCTCTACTATGGGGACTCAGAACTAGTTGAGGAAAAAAAACGCTAATAGTTATTATGGGTCTACTAATCAATACATGTTTGTGTGCTCTGTTGTGTGTCAGGAACGTTGAAAGGCCTGTGAAACACATTTGCCTATTGACTCCTTACTGTCAGGCATATGACCCTCCTCCCCCACTGTTCAGATGAGAACATTGAGCCCCAAATGATTTCCACTTGCCCCAAATCCTCTAACAGCACAACTGTTGATGATGATGCAGTCGTTTGCAAAGCATTATCTTTCCAGCCACTCATCTATCTTACCTTAATATTTTCCTGCCCATTTTATAGATGAGAAGCGTAAGGCCTAGTGAGAAGAAGTGACGTGCTTGAGGTTGCAGGAGCCAAGTATTGGCAGGGTGGAACGCTCTCCCGGGTGGCCTGGCTGCTGATGAGCCAGCTGGTGGAGATGGGATGAGAACAGATTTGGGTGAGGCAGCCGGTGGTGTGGCTGTGGTTCAGATCCTTTCTGACTTACCGGCAGTATTATTTGGGTGCTTGAACTTCTCCTCCCTGAGCCCTATCTGTGAAATGGAGGGGATAATAGTTGGCCCCTGAGGATTGAGACAGTGAGTGGGAGGGCTCCAGCATGGTGCCCGCTGGTATAAAGTAGATGCCTGTGAAATGGTTCCTCATCACTTGACTATACCAGCTGGATGGTACTAGGTCTGGGGTACCCCCTGCAGGTTGTGGTCCACCTCAACCCTTCAGAGAGCGCATGGCAGGGACAGGTTGAGGTTGAAGCTGTGTTCCCAAAGGTGGGCGATGTAGGGGTGTGTGTGTGTGTGTGTGTGTGTTTCCAGCCTATTATTGCATCTGTAATGTATAAGCGTAACCAACGTGGTGGTCCTGGGCTGCACTATCTGCAGAAATTTACAGTCAGCTGATGTGAGGTCTAGGCTCAGCTCTTCCATTTACTCTCTGAGTGATTCTGAGCAAGTGACTTAACCTCTCTGGCCTCCGTGGCCTCAGCTATAGAATGGAGGTAATAATAGTACTTCACTAGGAGGTTGCAGGGAGTAAATGAGATAAAGTGTCATTTATAGGATGTGTATTAGGGACTCAAATGCACATAATTTCATATATATTGGCATATCAGGTTTCAGTCTACCAACCTCTTTTGCATACATTTAAAAAAATAATTATCTTCATTTTGCAGATGAGGAAATGAAGTTCAGAGAGGCTAGGACCCTGGCCCAGAGTCTCACAGCTAGTAAGTGATGAAGCCAGGGTCTGATTCCCTAGCTCTTTCCCATGTAGCACAGTGCAAGGATTGTGATCCCGCATCTGGATCTAGCTGCAGGATGCAGCAGGCTAGATGAGGGAGAGGGAAGGCGTGGGTCGTAGACACCACATCTTGGTAGGAAAGCAGGAATCCTGTGCATAAAAAGGAAGCCATAAGTGCATAAAAAGTGCTTAAGTTTGTGATCTTTAGCAGCATGACAACAATAATACTGACTTTCCATCAGTGGGCAAGGTGATTGGGAGATAGAATGGCCCCTTCCACAGAGGTCCATTAAGAAACTAAGCTTTGCAAGTGCTTGGAGACCATTCCTCAGCACATTGATCCCTCTCTGAGTCCCCTCCCTCCCAGGGGAGGGCCACCTGATGGTGAGTGATTGATTTGGATGGGTGAAGGTCTCCTTAGGTGTTCCTGGTGTGCCTTTGAAAGAAAATACATTTTAACCACCACCAGTTTAAAAACATCCTTGGGATGAGGAGTTAGTCATCATTAATCTGTGTGAGAACTCGAGGTGAGAACGCTAGCTTTCCCCTGTTCACTTGCTTATTCAACAAATACACTGGCCTTCTGCCATGTGCTGGGTAGGCGGGAGGCGCCGGGCGTCAGCAGTGACCCGGAGCGTGAGCACACACTCCAGAGGGTAGACAGAGGTGCACCAAGCTATAGAAATCATTAAAATGGCGATAAGATTAATCTCTATATTTTTCTCTACATGTGGGATATCTAATAATAAACATGTTTTTAAATGATTTTGGGGACCAAATAAGTTTGGAGAATGCTAAAGGTTAACTGTGTCTCTGTGTTGGAGATCAGAGCACATTAGCATTAATACGGGCACTGAGAAATCTTGGAGAGATTCAACTTGGTCTAATCTAACATTTTCCACATCGATGTGGCCACAGAACCCTTGTTTAACTCTTGACTGAAATGAAATAGAAGACGTTCATGGAAAGAAAAACACAGGGCTGCAATGAGAGCGTGTAGTGCAGGGACCCTACCTGGTAAAGGAGGTCGTCGGAAATGGTCTCCCTGAGGAGGAGAGGTTTAAGCTAGGGCCAGTCAGTTCATTCCTTTGGCCTCAGTTTCCCCACCTGTAAAATGAGGAGAGTGAGCATTGTTTGGGCAGGGCTGTGGGGAGTGTCCCATCTAGTCACAGATGGTTGAAGCTGGATGGAGTTTCATAGATAACTTGGCTTGAAACTCCCATTTTAGAAGAGTGGAAACCAGAGCTCAGAGAGGTAGAGTGACTCATCTAAAGCCCCACAGCAAAGAAGTTGTAGTCCTGGCTGGAACCAAGGGTTCATGATATCCAGCCTAGTGCTTATTATTTTTGTTTCCTTAACGCCTTTCTAAAATTTTTAAAATAATTGAACCACCATATAGACAGATTAGAAAAATAGGAAAAAATTACCCATATAAGAGCATGGAAAATCAGTAATCCGGTGTGCAGATTAGAGGTGAAGTAGTGGCTAAGGGTATGAGCCCAGCCTGCCCAAAATCACATCTCAGCCCCACCTCTTCGGTTGGGCTCTGCCTCAGTTTCCTCATCTGGCAATAATATTAGTACCTACCTTATAAGGCGTTATTATTATGAGTTTAATATTGTAAAGTGCTTAGAACTTAGCTTAGACAATGCCTGGCACTTAGTAAGTGACTAATACTCATCATTATTACTTTTGTTGTGAAGTTTCAGTACATAATTTTTTAATTCTTTTTTTCTCACGTGACTTTTGTCATAAGACATTTCCTCTTTCACTGGGTGGAGTGGCTGCGTCATGACTTCCACTTGCCCATCTGGTGGGACCCTTGGGATGCAGCCATTAGTTTGATGCTATTAAAAAATGCCACAGTGGACGTCTTTGGGTGTGAAGCTTTTACTTTTTTTTCTGGTTTTCTCAGAGACCCAGGAGGGGATTTTGGGGGCAAAGTAGGTTTCTCACTGTCCCTCCTGTCTCATTGAGGAAAGAGTCCTGGGGAAAGGGATTTGTGAGGCGAAACACAGCCTGCAGGGACAGTTGGTGCCTGAGGAGGGGGCACATAGCAGTGTGGGGTTCCTCATCCACTCAGGACTCACTGCGGATGCCCTGTGCACCAGGCTAGGCATTCGTACAATGAAGAGAGAGGACTGTCGGTTTCAGGAGATGGATGGTAGAGCAGATCATCTCCTTCCTTGTTGCAGCTGCCCTGGAATCCCAGCCTGTTAGAACCCCAAGAGGCCGTAGCGATCATGTGGTGTGGTCTAACCCTCTGGTTGTACAGGTGGGGAAACTGAGGTAGGCCAAAGGTAAGGGACTCACCCACGGTCACTTGGCTGGTCAGTAGCAGAACCAGAACTAGAAGCTACATCCAGCTCTCTTTCCACTGCACCACAGTTGCTTTCTTCATTCATTCATTCATTCATTCGCTTGCTGACTCAGGAGGAGGAGGTAAGGAGAGCATGGATTTTTTATGGCAGAGAGTCCTGGATTCCTGGATTCCAATCTCAGGTTGGCCTCTGTGTGACCTTGGGCAAGTGACTTCACCTCTCTGAGCCTCACTGGCTTTAAATCTATAAAAGGGAATAATGGTAGTAGTGTTCCCTACCTGGCTTATCATGGAGATCACCTGTGACTGTACATGTTAGATGGAGGCGTGACGCCTGGCACATAGTAAGAGACCCATAAACGTTGTGTTGTTATTACTGTTAACCAATGCATATTACTGATTCTTAAGCTTTGCCAGTCCCTGTGCCATGACGTGAAGATGACTCAGACAGGGTCCCTGTCCCAACAGCCACCCAGGAGGGGCCTTTAAAATATCTG